TGTGTGTGTGTGTGTGTGTGTGTGTGTGTGTGTGTGTGTGAATGCACGTGCATGTGTGTGTGTGCGTGTGTGATTCTGAGAATTGAACTCAGGACCTCATGTAGGCTTGATAAGCACTCTCCCATTGAGGTATATCCCCCAAGCCCAAGTAGGTGACTTTATTAATAAAGAACACAGCTTTTGAAACACAGGCTGGTCACTAAGCTTTGTAGTGCCTCAGCAACATTATACATCCCAGAATAGACCCGAGTGCTGATTATCCCCTGTGTTGAAACAACATGCCCTAAATGCAGTTGTCACAAGTCTCTGCTGGATCCCATGTTTACAAAGATTGTTTCTCAAACTATCTTTATTAAGTGATAACCAGGTCCTTTCCCCAGCTGTATTTGGCAAAGACATAATTGTTGCTGAATTTGGTTTCTGATCAATTCACACTAATTAGTGTTTCCATGAAGAACTTACATGGTTCCTACCAAAAATCAAACTCAACATTCCTTCTTTTTTTTTCTTTCTTTTTTGAACCAGGAATTGAATCCAGGGGCACTTTACCAGTAAGCCACATCCCCAGCCCATTTTGTATTTTATTTTGAGACAGGGTCTTACTAAATTGCTTGGGGCCTCACTAATTTGCTGAGGCTTGCTTTGAACTCACAATCCTCCTTCCTCAGCCTCCCCAGCCACTGCTATTACAGGCATGCACCATGGTGCCCAGCCCTTCCTTTTAGATTAAGTAGCCTTATCATGGATTCCATTAGGTCAGGTTAAGAGCCAATAAATTTAGAAGTTTTTCAAGGTTCCTTCAATGTACCATTCTGTGATCCAGGTCCTTTCATTTCTCTGGCTGGAAACATAGGATCAATACCTCTTAAGCTGTCTGGGGGTAATGGGCTGGTATAGCAATTACACCGTCTCAGCCCTTCTTTCTTATATATCTCTCATTTACGACTCAGCTCTGTCAGCCTCTGCTGGGGTGAGAAATGAGGCATCATGGGGTTAACCCACATTTATGGATCTCTTGCCATGTGCCAAAACACCATGCCACAGATGATGGGACCAGAAATGAATAAGATACAGTTCCTGTCCTTGGATGATTTGTACTATTAGGGGAGTACATGTAGAAATAGATCATTTTAGTCCTATTCTGTATGTGCTAAGATTTGTATAGGGAGCAATGGGAGGGATTCCTGGTGCTGTCTCCAGGCTCAGAAAAGGCTTCCTGGAAGAGGTTATGCCTGCAGTAAGTTAGGCCAAGAAAGAAGGGAAGCTAGTTCCAAAAGTGAACAACGCTGGCATACAGAGTCACGGAAATGCTGTGGGTAGTTCGGTTTGTACTGAAATGAAAAGCCTCAAGCAGAGAGTGGAGGAGAGGAGGGGAAGAGAGCAGGACTGGATCACAAAGGGCTTTCTGTGCCATACTGAAGCACCACTACCCCCACCCACCCCACCCCCGGTTACAGAGAATCACCTAGTTTGGCCATGGCTGGAACACCTCACTACATGCTCTTTGCTGGACATCTGGATGCAGAGCCTGCTCTTGGGAGGAACCTAGAAGCAGCAGGGAAGTAGGACAGGGGAAAGGAGAAAAGCCGAGGGGGGCGGGGCCTGGCCCACCGGGAGACCAGCTTCTCCCTGATCCCATGGGAAGTTAAGAAGCACAGATTATATCAAAACTCTGTTTTTGTCTTGAGGCAATGGAGATGACCTTTTGTGCCCCTATATGATTAAAATCAGTTGTGGGATGGGTGCAGAACATAGCCTTCCATTTGGCTGTGGGCAAATCTCCCAAGAAGGGGGCAGCTGTGAGCTTTAATAGAAGCCAGTTCTCACAAGAACTGGGAGACGGTGCAAAGCAAGGTAAAGTGGATCTGGTCTGGGCACCAACAGCATTGGGTATACCTAACACATACCTCCCCAATCCCCAGTACTCAGATTAGATGTGTCACTCTTTCTAGTAGGCCTTTCCTACCATCGACTGTGAGTTAGGGGCCCTCCTGTGTGCACCTCTATTTTTCCACACATAGCCTAATTAATACCTCCAGTTAAGTTGTAAATGCCATGAAGGTAGGGCCTTTTCAAAACCTGTGCTTGGCATATACTAGATGCTCAATTAGTATCTAAACTGTGAGGTGACTCTTGTTAGCTTTATTTTTATCTTTCTGCCAGCATAATTAGCTTTGAGCCATCCCATTGCCCTGCAGGCCCTTCCTAAGAACACTACAGGGACCTTGCATCTATAAGAATGATCAGACCATTATGCAAAAATAAAAACCAACCAATTCACAACAAAAGCACTTCTAGTAGTTCTGTATTGCCCACAGGATGCAGTCCAAACTGCTTAACTGGACTTATCAAGCCATCTTTAATCTGAGCCCAATCTATTCTTCTACTCCACTGGCCTGTCATTTAGGACACTGCCCCCTGGCTTTCATGTGGCTTATACTTCCTGGTTCTGCTTCTTTGCTTTTATCATCTTGCTCTCTCTGCCTTGCTTTGAGCCTGGAATTTCCTATGCATACTACAAGCCCTAGAAATCTTACTCCATTGCAGGCCTCCCCCATTGGTCCCCCTCAGGAAACTTCCATCTTTCTGATCCCTCCGTTATCATTGATACTATCAATCATTTTATGTCCCATCAGCATTGTGACCTGCATATCTTATTACATATCAATCATGTTTACATATTTTTATCTCCTTTATTAGACAGTGCTTCCCTGAAGGGCAGAAGTTAGTTTTAGCGTTTATTTTCTATCATCCGGGGCCAGAATTAGTTACATAATTTGGGGAACCCCAGTGCAAAATGAAAATGCAGGCTCTTTATTAGGGAAAAAAAAAAAAACTATTGAGAATTTCAAGGCAGTAACAGCAGAGCACTAAACTCACCATGGGACCCTTTAAGGGGTGTGGCCTATGGGCACACCCACATTGCAGACAGATGGCATGCCCAGGAAGGGGGCCTTGCTTAGACCTATGCATATAAGAGATAGTCACTGACCTCTTTCAAATGGATGAATGTATAATTAAATAAGTTCAGTTCTTTTAAAAAGTATCCTTTAGTTTGTGAAGGTGTTTGTTCTTAAAACTGAAGGAAAATGTTGTGGATAAACCCTGTCAGTCCTTGGTTGACTAGAAAGCATCGATTGAGCAAAGATCCTGTTGCTATATGTAAGTGTTAATCACAAGGAGGGTTTCAGGTTACATTCTAAGAGCATAAAATCATGGCTGTCACATGAATATAAAATGAACATATATTGACCCTCTGGGGGGAATTGGGTACTAAGAATTGAACCCAGGGGGCACTTAACCAAAATTGTGCTACATCCCCAGCCCTTTTTATATTTTATTTCAAGACAGGGTCTTGCTAAGGTGCTTAGGGCCTTGCTAAGTTGCTGAGGCTGTCCCTGAACTTGTGATCCTCCTGCCTCAGCCTCCTGAGTCACTGGGATGACAGGTGTGTGTCACCAAGCCCGGTATATCATTTCATTTAACTCATTAATGAATAAGAGAACCAGAAAGGCATTAACAGCTGGTTCAAAGGAAAGTCCAAAGAGCAGATATATTTATAGCGTATTAGGAATGCAAAAATGTATTTGCTTCATAGATGGAAAACTGGCTTCTCCTGTAGAGGTGGAGAGAAATCAGGTCAACTTCTACTGGCAGAATGTAAGCTTCTAGGGATAGGAATTATGTGCGTTACTATCAGTTTTCTACAAGGTAATTTCTATCTCTATAGAGTTATAAAATAGCCTGTTCAAAGAAATGAAAGGCAGAGATCACCCTGATGGATGAGCTAGTTAAGATATCTAGCTTTTCTTGTTTTAAAATATAATTGTGTGTGTGTGTGTGTGTGTGTGCGCGCGCGCGCGCGCGCTGCTGCTGCTGCTGCTGCTGCTGGAGGTTGAACCCAGGGTCTCTGACATGCTAAACAAGTACTACCACTGAGCTACACCCCCGGCCCTTACCCACTTTTTATCTAGGGTGCAGGTAGGCTATGCAGAAGGAAGAATGCTCAGTAACACAATTTCTAACCTCCTCTCTGAATATAAGCACCCAGAACTTGGAACCTGGGGGAAAACATTTCTATTAATAGCTGTTGCTTCTCTTGTTTCTGTTCCTGCCTTTGATACTACCTTTGTTGACAAGTTTTGAAGGAACATTTCTTTCCTTTTTTTTTTTTAATTGGTTGTTCACAACATTACAAAGCTCTTGACATCATTTCTTTCCTTTGAACAATGAAGTTGGGAAGGTCTCAGATCACAGCTGGAGTAGAAGTCTTGGCTTAGGTTTTTTGTGAGCTTGTTGTTCTTGGAAAGACTCCCAGTTTTGCTCTTAAGAAAAGGTTTACTGTTGTAAGTACTTAAACATTGCATATTCTGACCTTCTATGGGTAAGCTGTATAAACAGCGCTTCCAAATAGCCAGATGTGCATAATGCCTATCAGAGTACATGCATCATTAAATATTAAGCCATTTGTAAATTAAGTTATGGATTTGATCAATTGATTTGCTTCGATTAAAACATTGCTCTTTCTCTAGGGACCAACCCTATAATATAATTTTTAAAACTTAAGCTAAATCCCACAAGGGGAAAAAAGAAGACTCCCTTAAAGAGCATTCTATAGCCTTGCTACTCAAAGTGCAGTCTCTGGAAGGATGCTCGTTATAAATGCAGTATCTCAGGTTAAGGATGTAGTTTAGTAATAGAACACTTGCCTAGCATGCTTGAGACACTGGGTTCCATCCCCAACATAGAAGAAAGAGAGATGTAGTATCTCAGACCTACTGTGTTAGAATCTGTGTGGTGATTTGTAAAGCTTTTATATTGGAGAAGTTCTGTTCTATAGCATAAGCTCTGAAAGTCACCTCTTATGTCTTTGATGTTTTCACAGGAATTGCCTATCTGTTTGCCAAAGCTTATCTGGTTTCCAAGAAACCACAGTACCTGGACACATGTATCCGTTGTGGGGAGCTCACATGGCAGAAGGGCCTGCTGAAGAAGGGACCGGGGATTTGCCATGGTGTTGCTGGCAGTGCCTATGTGTTCCTGCTGCTGTACCGGCTGACCGGAAACTCAAAATACATCTACCGTGCCCAAAGGTCGGCCATTCTTCTTATGTTTTTTTTTTTTTTAATTTTAATCTTTTTAATTTTCTGAATAGGTAACACAGTCACATAGTTTTAAAAGTGCAAAAAGAATTACATCAACACTGCCCTCCAGCCATTTAATTGACTTCCCTGACACTATTATCATTTTCTTGGTTATCTGTCCAAGGACATTCTGTGTACATGTAAGCAAATGGGAGTATATGTAGAATTTTGTCCCTTTTTTTATTTTGTACAAATGATAGTGCCTTGCTATCTTACTAAACATCCTAAATCAATACATCAAGGACTTCTTCAATCATTTTGTTAAATATTTTATTGTCATTAAAATAAAAATATTTATTTGGATTGTTTCCAGTATTTTGCACTATAAATAGTGCTATGATGAATAACCTTGTACACAGGAAAATCATTTAAAACAATGCCAAGCACCTCATAATTGCAATGTAAATATTCACTGTTATTACTACAATTTGAGTTTTATCTTTCCAGACTTTTTCCATGCATAAACAAGTGTGTGTTATTTTTGTGTGTATTGTATTATTTTGCATGCATATGGGTCTATCTAAAAGGTAAATTCCTAGAAGTGGAATTACTGGACCAAAAGATGAGTGTATTTTTAATTTTGACAGATAATGCTAAGTTGTTCTTTATAGTTTATTCCCTGAAAGCCTGATAAAGATGAAACATCCCTTGTATAACGGACAACATTGCTTTAATAGAAGTAAGCCCTTACTGATAAACTGAGTAAATTGGACCAAGGAGTCTGTGAATGAAGTATAAATAACCTGATAGAAAATATAAGTAGAGACTTCCCTGAATGCCAAGTAGCATGGAACTGGCATTCCCTTCAAGGGACTTGGAGCAGTCTATGTCCATAAGTTGTTATAAAAGGTACTGATTTTCTGTGTGGCACTTAGGTCTTCTAAGCCTGGGAGCCTTTCACCCCCACTCATGTGGTCTGATACCCTTGCATCTGAGCTGTCACTCAGTGGAAGTTCAGGAATAGCCACCGGGCTATTCTGTGAACATTTCCATCAAAGGAATGCACCTGGTGATTATCATATTGGCTGTGTGACCTTTAACTAGACATTTAACTTGCCCTGTGCTCTTCAGCCACAACATGTGGGAAATAGTGCCTTGTGCATGCAAGGCAAGCACTCTACCAACTGAACTATATCCCCAGTCCCTGGGAAAGGTGTTTTTAAACATAACACAAAGTCCAGGAGTCTTAAAAGAAAGATGGACAACTTTAACAAGAAAAAAATCTTAAAATTTGGGTATGATGAAAGACCATGAACAAAGTTGAAAGAGAAATGATAAAGTAAAAATATATTTACAGCACATGGACAGAGTTACAATCTTTACTATATCTTTACTACCCAATACAATCAGCAGTATTGGGTAGTTTATTTATTTATTTTGGCAGAGGTGGGGGTACCAGAGATTGAACTCAGAGGTACTCAGCCACTGAGCCATGTCCCCAGCCCTATTTTGTATTTTATCTAGAGACAGGGTCTCACTAAATTACTTACTACCTCGCTTTTGCTGAAGCTGGCTTTGAACTCACGATTCTCCTGCCTCAGCCTCCAGAGCTGCTGAGAATATAAGCATGTGCCATTGTGCCCGGCTAGCAGAATTGGGTAGTTTAAATGAGTTAACCTGTGAAACTTATATAAAGCAATGCCTGGCACATAGTAACTGCAATTAAGTATTCCACCATTGTTATTACTACAAAATTGAGTTTTATCCTTCCAGACTTTCATCTGTGCATAAATGTATGCTTATATATCTGGGAGTATGTTTTTTTTTTCTTGTGTGTGTGTGTATATTATTTTTGGTGCTGGGAATGGCACCCAGGACTTTGTATAATAAGCACATACTCTGCCACTAAACTATAGTCTCAGCCCTATGTATATTTTAGTAGACTCCTGCTGTTACATACGTATAACAATAGTATACATATTGCTTTCAACTTATAATTTTAAATGAACAATTTAAAAAAAAATATCTTTAGTTGTATATGGACATGATACCTTTATTTTGTTTATTTTTATGTGGTGTTAGGGATTGAGCCCAGTGCCTCACATGTGCTAGGCAAGTGCCCTACCACTGAGCCACAACCCCAGCACCTAAATGGACAATTTTTCAGGGACATATTTCATTTCATTTTGCATAGATCTAGTTCATTGCTTTAACTAACTATATTGTTATTTATGATTGATATACCATAATTAATTTAACCAATCTCTAAATGTACAATCTTTACTAATACAAACAAAATTGCCCCAAATATTCAATATATGCATTTCTGTGCACTTGTGTATGCATTTCTATAGAAGAAATTTTAGAATTGAAATCATTAGTTCCCTAAGTATTTCTTGATCTATATCTAGCCCATCTTTATTCTTTCCCCATTTTTTCCTACTGCAATGCTTATAGTAAAGACTGTAACTCTCAATGTGCTATAAATATATTTTTTACTTTATCATTTCTCTTTCAACTTTGTTCATGGTCTTTCACCATACCAAAGTTTTAAGTATTTTTCTTGTTAAAGTTGTCCATCTTTCGTTTAAGACTCCTGAACTTTGTGTTATGGTTAAAAACACGTTTCCCAGGGGCTGGGGATATAGCTCAATTGGTAGATGCATGCCTCACATGTATAAAGCCCCAGGTTTGATCCCCAGCACCACACACACAAAAAAACAACAGCAGCAAAATAATACCTTTCCTATTCCAAGATTCCAAAGGATTAACTTACACTGATATTATTACCTTTATGGTTTTATTACCTCACATTAATATTTTTATTTAGCTAGAACTCACTTTTATAAATTGCTTTTGTTTTTTAAAAACATGACAGTAAAATGTATCACAATTTCTATTACATATATAGAACACAATTTTTTCATATCTCTGTATATAAAGTATGTTCACACCAATTCATGTCTTCATACATGTACTTTGGATAATGATGTCCATCACATTCCACCATCATTGCTAACCCCCTGCCCGCTCCATTCCCTTCCCACTGTAGAACTTACTTTTAAAAAATGGTGTTAAATGGGTATCTATCTTTGTTGACTGAAAAGCAGAATTTTCCAATAGCATCTGTTGATCAATTACCCTCATCATTTAAAATTTGAAATTACACTTTGATCATAAACTGAATGTATATAAATATATGGTTTTGTTTCTGAACTTTGTTTTGTCCCATTTATCTAGTTCAACATTTCATTACTTATTATTTTTAAGTTTTCTTAGCTGCTCTCCCTCATTTATTCTTCAAATGTATTTTAGAATCAATTTGTCAAATTTAGCGTGGCAAGGTGGCACATGGAGCTTCAAACAGAGGACTTACATATTTAGTATTTTTCCTTCAGTGCACACATGCATATATCATAAAGGATATTTTATGTTTTGCTATGTTTTTTGGTACCGGGGATTGAATTCAGGGGTGCTTAATCACTGAGCCATATCCCCAACCCTTTTTTATGTTTTACTTTGAGACAAGGTCTTGCTAAATTGCTTAGAGCCTTTTTTCTAAGTTGCTGAGGCTGGCTTTGAACCCTTGATCTTCTTGCCTCAGCCTTCCAAGCAGATGTATGCCACTGCTCCCAGCTTTTATGTTTTATTTTAATATTGAATATTGGATAAATTGGCACTGGACTTTTCTGGGGAAAAAAGACCTGAATGACTTTTACTCAAAAAGCTAGGTGCCAGGAGATCAATGTGGAAAGTAAGCGCTACAGGTGGAGGAAATTAAAACTTGAAGGGACTTAAGGTGAAGTGTACTTGGCATCTTAGTGGAATCACAGGGAAGGCACTGTGGTAGAGAGAACCAGGAGAAAGCCAGGAGATGAGATCAGAGAGTTTGTAAAGACAGGCTAGTTGCCATGGACCTTTCACTCAGACTTTGGCCTTTACTCTGAGTCATATGGGAATCCATTGGATTACCTTGAATAAAGGAGTGTCATAAACTAACACAATATTCATTATATGAAGTGAATATAAAGATGATAAGACAGAAAGCATCCCTAAAAAGAAAAAAAATCAGCATAAAAGCAAGGATATTTGAACAAATAGACTAGGACAATTTGTTTTGTTGGATTCTTTTGATTATTATGATTTTAGTTTTTGTTTATTGTTTTATATCGGAGATTGAACCCTGGGATGCCTTACCACTGAGCTACACCCCTGGACCTATTTATTTATTTGTTTATTTTCAGACAGGGTCTCACTAAGCTGCTTAGGGCCTTACTAAGTTGCTGAGGCTGGTTTTGAACATGAGATCCTCCTGCCTCAACCTCCCAAACTGCTGGGATTGCAGGAGTGCACCACCACACCCAGCCTATCTCTTTTTTATGATAGTGAATATATTTCTACAAAACTATCAGTTCATTAGATTTTTCAAATTTTTTTACATAGAGCTTCAATCGTATAGTTCTGTAATATTTTTAATTTCCCATATCTGTGGTTTTATACCCTTTCTCATTCCGAGTGCTTTTCCTTCTTGATCAGACACACCATCATTTTTTTTTTCTATCTTATTTGTCCTTTCAAGGAACTCGTTCTTGGTTTTGTTTATTAATTCTGTTTTTCTCTTTTGCTTCCTACTTTATTACTTTCTGTCTGTATTTTGGTTTCCTCCTGTTTTTTTTCTATTTTGTTATTTTCTAGAGTTTAAAAATTCTTAATTAGATAATCTTCCATCTTCCTATTATTAATAATAATAACTCATAGATCTAAGAATTTTCCTCTTTGTTCAGATTTGGTCATAATTAGTATGTTTTGGTATGTAATGTTCTCAATCTCATTCTTTTCAGCTTCATAATTGCCATTCTGACTTCTGTTTTGACTGAGAATGTTTCAGAAAAATGAATTTGCTAATTTGATTTCTGCATCATTGGGTAGATTTTTGAAACCATCTTTTCACTTTCATATCAACAACATTTTCCGGAAATGTTAATGCATGATTATGTAAAAACAGTGGAATTGCTGCTCTTATATGTTGCTAGTTCTCTTACGAATTGCTGCATGACATTTAGAAATTGTTTTGAAGAGCAGAGAAAATGATTTTCATATTATTTTTAAGTAACAAATGCAGAATATTAAGTGATAATCACTTTAATAATGTGTAATATTATAATAAATAAATGAGTGCTTGGGAGAAAAGGTCAGAAGAAGGAACAAATTTAACTGGGTTTCTTTTATTGTGTGAGGTAAGTTTTCTCTGTTATACAAATATTCTGCTACAATACAGTTATGTGAAAAAATAATATTTCCCATTTATCCAATTTTTGCTATATGCTCAGAAACTAATATGATATCTTTAATCTCTTCAGAAAATTCTGTGCCACTATACAATTTCAGTATTTTTAGGTTAAATTTAAGAAATGTGCATATCTGCTGGACGCGCTGTAATCCCAGCGGCTCAGGAGGCTGAGGCAGGAGGATCGCAAGTTCAAAGCCAGGTTTCAGCAAAAGCAAGACCCTAAGCAACTCAGTAAGACACTATCTCTAAATAAAATGCAAAATAGGGCTGGGGATGTGCCCCTGAGTTCAATTCCTGGTACCAAAAAAAAAAAAGGCAGGGGGAGAGGGATGCATCTCAAATTTGTATATCTATCTCAACTCCAAAGCTTTTTCCTTCTCTTTCTACTATACCAGGTGTTCTTAGTCTGGAATTTGTAAACTTATTAAAGAAAAAAGATTACATCTTAAACTGAAATGAATGATTTCTTTCCATCAGAATATAGACAATAAGTCACAGAATTAGCAGTAGCTGCAATTCTGCAACCAACAGAAATACTAGATATTCTCGTATTAAGCCATTTTGCTCTATGATCCCACATATGGAACACCTATAAAAATTTAAATTGGACAACAAGTATACCACTTATGGTAACTTTGAAATAATTATATTTTTAGAGGTGGGTTCTTTTGAGAAAAGTAATAAATGATTGATTATAATGTTTGATTATATATGTATGTGTGTGTACAAATACATATGCTATACATATATGTATACATACATCTACATATTTGTTTACATATATACACAAACACATATATGTTATGTATAAGGCATAGATAATTATTTCCAACCCATTTTATTGTACCTATGCCAATTTCATTGAAATAGTTACAGAATTGAAGACTTGGGACTTAATGGGTTAAACTGCTCTTATTACAGATATTGTGAAATAGATTTTATTCTCATCACTACTTAGAAATGTCAGAAATTATTAAACCCCCTACTAGATCTTGTTGTTTAATATTTTAATGAAGAATACATATGTTATTGTATTACAGCTTTGGTTTGGTTTTACTTTTTTTTTTTTTTTTTTATTTTTCTTTTTTTTTTTTTTTTTTTTTACTTGGACTTAGGGTGTAGCTCAGTGGTAGAGCATGCACTTAGTATGCACCAGGCCCTGGGTTTGATTCCCAGCATACACAGACACACACACACACACACAAAAGGAAAGATGAAAAAAGAAGATAAATATTTCGCTTATGGTGTTTTTAATAATATTAATTTTCTTTGTAATCTTATGTATTTTATTTTATGCATTTGAAAGCTTTTTTGAGACATTCAGACTGCCAAATGATCCATAGCACTAAAAAGATGAAGACCCTCTCCAAAACTATACCACAATGCCATCTTTATTATATAACCATAAATTTTGAATTAATTCTTAAGGATGCCTTATTGGGGCTGGGGATGTGGCTCAAGCGGTAGCGCGCTCGCCTGGCATGCGTGTGGCCCAGGTTCCATCCTCAGCACCACATACCAACAAAGATGTTGTGTCCTCCGAGAACTAAAAAATAAATATTAAAAATTCTCTCTCTCTCTCTCTCT